TGTGTGGAGTAACCTTATTAGATCGCATTCCATCGGACTCGATTTTGAGCCGACTTGGTATTCAGAAGACCGTTATTGACTGTGTTGAAAAATCTAAATTGCGATGGTTTGGGCATGTCGTGCGTAGAGAAGATAGTAGTCCAATCCAAGAAGCTTATTTCCTTGAGGTCCCCGTTTGAACGGGATAAGACGGCAACGATGATGAAACTCGATTACCGAGCAGCAAAAGCGTAAAGACCATGAAAGACGTGGCTGACTTCTAGTTTCGAAGAAACTGGAACTTAAGTTTCTGATTTCCCAGCGAGAATAAGTGTCTTGTAATCGGGAACTCCGCCTGAAAGCATTGCATGCAGTAATGTTTCTTGCCGGTCCCAAGCCCGGGTAAAGGAGGAGGGTTGGCGATAGGAAGGGCATCCAGCCGTGAAACTCCGCTTCAACCTACTGAATCATGAATACGCCAAATATAGGGGGCAGTACACCCCGAAGTGCTGCGCGGGCGTTGTCGGTGCCGGCCTACGTCATAAAGAATGCACTGACACCCCGAAACTCCCTGAGACAAATGACGGCTGCAGAGCCTGACACGCCAGGAAACAAGTTTCGGGTTGCTACGTGGAACGTTGTTTCCATGACTGGAAGGAGTGGTGAGGTAGCAAGAGAACTTGGTGAGCGGAAAGTTGATGCTGCCTGCCTTCCAGAAACTCGGTGGAGGGGAGCAGGAACAAGAATGACTGGAAACGGTTACAAGTTCTTCTGGTCTGGCGGAAAGAAAGCAGAAAATGGAGTTGGCTTTGCTTTCGCTGAACACTTAGTGAACCGTGTGGTGGAGGTCAACCGTGTCAACGACCGCATCATCTCAGTTACGGTTCTTTTGGAAGATCGTCCCTACAATTTGATATCTGCGTATTGCCCACAGAGCCAATTAGCAGAAGATATGAAAGATCATTTCTACGATGCCCTTGAACGTGAGTTGCTGACGACCGATAACCCGCTGGTTGGTGGTGATTTCAACGGACACATTGGCGAGGACAACTCAAGTTGCGAAAGTTTCTGATTTCTTAGTGTTTTAACACTTGCGAGAGCAAGAGTCTTGTTGCACTTGCGAGAATAAGTGTCTTGTAATCGGGAACTTGATTTTTCCGTTTTGAACAGTTTTTTCCGTTAATAGGTATACAAGTTTGAAGTTTTGGAGTTCTTCCTTGGCTCTAAATCTTTTTGATACATAACCTCTGCATGCATTTTGGCCAAACGAGTTTTTTCATTAATTTCTTCATTACGGCATTTTGTTTAATTGCGCGCTATTAGACAAGTTTAGTCAATCGGTCTTCGAAATCTTGAACTTTTCCTATTCAGCTTAAATACGGCGAGGTGATTCCACTTTAAAAGTAAATGAAACTACTGTCCAATATTTTACTGAGCACATTTTTGTCAAACTATTTGAAATTGTGAGATAATGACAAAGGAATATTGTCGCGTTAGCGGAGTTAAACGAAAACGTAATATTCAGTTCTGATAAAAAAACATTGCGCTCTAGTTTCTTGTTAGACCTAAAAAAGCCTTTGATAATCACGACCATAAAAATATGCTAGATATAATTGATTTTTACGGAATACATGGTGTAATTCTTGCTGAAAGTGACTGTGTTAGGTCCTTTTTTTCCTCATATATACATTTATGATATTCCTAGTGACCCTAAACATTAGATGTTCTTTATTTGCGTTTGCTGTTATGTAGTTTTGTGCAGCGAACTCGTTTACTTCTTGTTGTTCCGACCATTGAAAATGGGGAGGAACTTGGTATTCGGGTGTGTGTTAGATTTTTTGCTTTTTTTTCACGCAAAATCAGGTACCACAAATATTGATCGGACGGGGTTCAGTGATATATCATATTAAAGTCCTTCCAGTCGTAATTCGAGCGAATTTAAAAAATTTTGAAAATTTTTTCAGTGTTGAGAAAAACCGATTTGAAATTTTTAATTTTTGGTCTAATTTCGAGCTACTAAGGTGACTGTGTAGGCTTATAATAGCATATTTAAGCTTAATTTAAGCCGTCAAAACTTTGTTCTACGCAAATAAAGGTAGTTTTTGGGAGTTTTTAGCGCAATTTTGGGAATTAAAAACTTCAAAGTTGAAAACATTTCTGCAATTTTTGAAATTTTTTTCAAAACATTTTTTTTCCGTTTTTCTAGTAATTTTTCTTGAAAAACTGTTTTACAATTAACCTATTTTACTATGACTCTGCAATATGCCCAAGTCCTATTTTTTCCTTTAAATCTTTTTATCACAACATGCAGAAAAAAAATGACAGCAATTTGAATAAACTTCATGTATTTTTTTAAGACTGTGGTGGAACATTCTGTGCTACTTGCACAGTAACCGGCTATCCTTGTTTACTTTTTTAATTTTACTTTTTATTTATCAAAATCAATTAATCATGTTATCAGCGCTTTCGTCAGCTGTGTTATATGGTCAAACTACAGACATAGTTCGAGCTTGTTTGAATTTCGATACCCAATCAGTTCAAAATTTGTTTTCTAAGTTTTTGTTGTACATATAAATTTCGGTTTTAGAAATTTATCAGTGATTTAATCGCTGAGAATGTTAATTCAAATTAAACGCTTTCAGGTCTTATTATATCGGTTTTTTTTGGAAAGATGTAAAAAGTTTCTTGTGCGTGTGTGTTCTTCGATGGGGACTCAATGTCTCCAAAATGTTATAATGCTAAAAATGTGGTAATGCTCAAATTTTCATGATCATTTTTTTTGCTTAACGGATGTCCGCCAAAGTTTTATCGGCTACGTATTTTTTGCTTCCTTGCACCTCTTAGCTAGAATTTATCTTAATTGGTATATTTTCTTCAAAATGAAATTACTGGAGTCAAATCGAGTTTAGTGTTTGGGGAAATTTTGGCAGATTTAGTTTTCCTTGATTTTTTTGTAAGTTAGTTTTCCGATTTGGCAACTTTTTTCTCATCTATCGGCTACCTTTCCATGGCGCATTTGCAATTTATCGCATGTTAATTGAAGCCCCGCACCGCAACTGGATTCATCATTCATTCTTGGGTGGTTTCGAATAAGTTCTTACTAATATATTTGACTTTTTTTGTTTATTTCAATCAAAATTCTGAAGCTTATAACCTTGAAATATGATTTTGTTTATTCTGATTAGGTTTCGTGTAGCTAATTCAGTGTAATTGATGACCATCAAATCGATAATTTTAACGCATCATGTGGCCGTGAGTCTTAACTAAAAAAACATTCACTTCGAGAAGTTTTTTTTCTCCAAAATTAGACATTTCGTAACCAGGGCGGTGAAAATTTTGTACTGGAATTCAAACGTGAAACCAATTATTCGGCTTGGTTTGCTTGCTTAAGGTTATAAATCTTCAGTCAACCTAAACTAGATCTTGCTTCTGCAGCAAAATATCTGACAGATATGTTTTACTCTTTAGTTTGACAGCATTTCACTTTGGTTTCGATAAAATCTATCTATTATATATTGAAAGCTGGCTTCACTTTTTTAACCATTTTTAAACTTTTTGAGCGTTTTATTTTTGCATGTTTAACAAAAATAAGTTTTCGCGTTTAAGCTATATCCCAAGTTTGAAGCAAGTTTCATTTCAGTGATTATTTCACCAAGTTTGAAACAATTAACCCACTAGATGAATGCTATTAGAGTTCTCCAGGCGTTACTAGTTTGTCCTTCAAATATGAGTACCCAAATGCATGTCTCAGGTCTTCCTCCCCATGTTTCGAGAAAAAAAATCAATTAGCTAGTTTACGAGGTACGCAGATTATTTATGACTTTTGAAATGTTTTTCAAAGAACTCCACAAAGTTATACAAATCAACCCTTTAGTGGGGAGCTGTCAGGATATTCTCAGGCGTTGCAAATCTTGCCTCCAAATATGAATGCTTTCCGAGATATGACGTTTTTATGGTTATTCAAATATCTTCGGTAAACTTAGATTTAGAAAGTTCTCAAAATTTGAAATCCCAGCCCTATAGATGAATGATGTCAAAGTACTCTCATGGGTTGCAAATCTTGTCTCTCAATGTGACTGCTCAAATGCTTTTAGTTTCCGAGATATGTCGTTTTTTGAGATTTTTTCGAAAAATTGATTTAAATTTTTTTTTCAACTCTCGAAATTCACAACCCTATAGCTGGATGCTTCTAGGTTAGTCTCAGAAATTGCAAACTTTGTCTGAAACTTCTAGTGCTAAAATCCTTCTTGTTTTCAAGATATGAAGTTTTTTTTTCAAAAATAACGTTTGTTTTTTTTTCCGTATGTTGTTTAGATATGTTTTCTAGAACTTAGATAAAAAACTTGACTAAAGTCGGATTTCTCAACTCTTCGAGGCGCTGACAGGGTACTCTCAGGCGTTGCGAACTGTGCATCCAGATATGACTGCTGAAATCTTTTTAGTCTCCCAGATATGGCGTGTTTTACGATTATTTCAATAATTTTCAGAAAACAAAGTTCGAATATCTCAACTTAATAGTCAGATACTCTCGAAGTACTCTCGGGGCTGCAAATTTTGCCTCCAAAGGCTGATGCTCAAATGGTTTCCGGGACAAAACGGTTTTTTCAATTGATTTTTTTAAACGTTTCAAAAATCCCAACCCTATAGTTCTCAGTTTTTTTTTTAGTTTCCGAGATATGACGTGTTTATGGTTTTTGCTGAGAAGTTTGGTATCTCAAAGCTTCTAGTTTTTCACAAAATTGATGCAAAATATTTTTGTTTTAAATTGCAGATAAATTACTACAAGTTTTGTTGTCGTTGCGTGACTTAAAGGCCTCCAGTTTTGACTGAAAATTAGATGATATAGAAGATATTAACTTTTCACTGTCATTTCATCGACAGTTGGTCGGCTAATTTTTTTGTACCGCGCGTGATGCGAAAATCCGCCTCGCCCTTGTTAGGAACTTAGATTTATTTCTTATACTGGTTTTCTGAGAATCTTAGTCGCACTGTAGTATCAAAACTTGTTCATTTTCAGAATTAACCCATGCAACTATTGGAATCATACAAAAATACAAATCGTAAATAGCTGAAAATGACTTGAGAGAACAGAGAACCAAATACCCATCCCGTCTGCTCACCCTTCTCCGAAGAAGGGTCACAGACAACATCCGCAAGAGTCGATAGATTGGAGCAATTCCTGCGTGAAATCAAAAATGCCGTCATCGTCTTCGACTCCTGCCTTCTCGACATTTCGAATGGGCGCCATTTTGAGGTCGATAAGAATGGCCCCAGAGAGAGTTCCGAAGTTGCAGAAGAAGCACTGGCTCTTCTTGATTCTGTCAGCCTCTGGACTGGCCACTGCACTCCTGTTTTGTGAGTTACGTCATGTAATCTGCTTATACAGAGCGTGCAATCATACAATATCTGTAGAATTTATGATGCAGAAGATTGTTCAATCAAACGATATAATATTCCTATGACATTGAGAGTAGTACCATTTAGGTCAATCACCGTTTTTTTGTCCTGTAAATCAGCATTTTACTCTGTTTCTAATTGGTAAATGAATGAAATAAAAAACTGCCATAAAGTATCGAATGCACAAAAATGGTTGATAAGCAAATAACCTGGACAATACTACCGTTTGTTAGTCTCTTGAATCACGTTTGTAAATGTCTCTAATTTTCCAAGCTGTGTAACTACAGTCACAGGACAAAAAGTTTCAACCGAGGAAATAAATATTGTTTTGATCAGTTTATCAAAGCGCAAATAACCAAGTAAACTTTATCCCCCTAAATAAATGGGGGGGGGTATAAAGTTTTTTTTATCAGAGACGCCTTTTGACTAGACAAGCATACCTTGCTGAACAGCATGAGAAGTTTGATTTTTGTTGGTACGCTAAGGAGTTTAATTTTATATGGTTCAAAAATGGTTTGAAAAATTCTATTTTATATAGTTTCAAAAAACAAGCGAGAGATTTGAAAACGTTGCGAGGCTCGGTGACAAAATCTAGTTTATTATTTTAGAGTATTTGTGCGCCGATGATTAGCGAACATGTATCAGTAAAAACAAGCTGTTTTGGATCACCAGTCCCTGTGATACATAGGGTTCCGACTAATGTAATGTTATGTTGGTATTTTTGTACGTTGGCATAGACTGCGGTGATATTAAACGTCTGTTTTAATATCACGGGATTATTATGAGTCGATGAACACATAATTCAGACTCTTATATAGGTCGCGGCGGAATGAAAAAAAATTACCTTTGAATCCAGTTTTTTTTGAAATTCAATTAATTTTAGCAAAATAGTGTCAATCATAAAGTGTTCTTGAAATTCAAGCGGCTTTAAAATAGTCTATTTTTTTGAATTTTGAAAATTGAAAATTTTCAAAAAAAAAGTCAAAATTCAGTGTTTTTTCTGTTTATTTGCGTTCATTGACTGTTTTCCAACATCATGTTGGCTGTATTTTGATTGTTAAATTAGCGAGAACGAGTGTCTTGTCATCGACCAAGGACCAGAATTTTAAAAAAAAATATCAATGAACGAACTGAATACACTTATCTAGGTCGATTGTTTTTTGGGGGGGAAGAAGTTAGAAGATTTATCATTTTTGAATTTACATTCAAATTCATTAGCGAAAAGGAAAAGAAAACTACGCTTTCCAATTGCGATAGTACAAAAGGCCCAAAAAAGGTTTCTGGTTTTTTGATTCAAAAATGTGAGGCCCCTAATCTCTTGCTCGATTCTGGTACAATGCAAAAGATTGTTTCCAAGGCTTTTTTTCCGCATTTCACTGTTTTACCAAGTTAGGGTTACATTAGATAAGAGGCATTACTCCTAAATGATTGCAAAGTTTGAGGAATCGGATAGTTTACAATGTGTGGTTACCAAAGATAAATTTTCCAAATGATTGCCCGGAATAAATATATATAAAAAAGGCCTGACTGGAACTTGAAACCCGTATCTTAGGGTACAAAGGCATCCACGTTAACTCTAGGCCAATAGCGAAAAGTTCTCGAAATTGCTAAAATCCACTAATAAAAAGTTTCACAAACTCTTACAAATATGTAACAAAAAGTTGTTTACGGGAAAAAAGTTTAGTTACGGATTAGGAGACACTTGCTCTCGCAAGTGTAACAAAGTTCCGAAAAGAAACAATGACAATGTTTTTTTTTGTATTGCATGTTGAGTTTTATGGAAAAACAGAAGTTAGAGATGAAGTTGAATGCACTTAGTTAAGAGATCGAATATAAAATTACAAAAGATCAAAGTAGCTCGTGTCGGTTACCATTTCATTTAGGTGAAAAAATGGTTGATGATTTCCATTTAGGTAAAAGAAAAATGGTTGAATTATTTATGACCCAGGCAATGTGGGTCGTAATTAATTCACTTTGATCAACAAGCTTTCACTTTTCCAAATTCGGGTCTAAATTAGGTCGACCTTGTAGTCTTTTATCAAAAACTCAACATTTTCATATCAGAATTGTTACGCCAGAATACTTTAACTATATTTTAGAATCAACATTCAATACTGATCGCTAGTTTATGGCTGTATTACTTTGTCGGTCGTTCATACTTAATCCGGAAAATTAAGTCTTTTTATACAAGCGAAATTATGAACCTGTAATCAACCATTTTTTAACCTAAATGGAATGGTAACCGACACGAGCTACTTTGATCTTTTGTAATTTTATATTCGATCTCTTAACTAAATGCATTCAACTTCATCTCTAACTTCTGTTTTTCCCATAAAACTCAACATGCCATACAAAAAAAACATTGTCATTGTTTCTTTTTGGAACCTTGTTACACTTGCGAGAGCAAGTGTCTTGTAATCCGTAACTAGACTTTTTTTCCGTCAACAACTTTTTTTTACACATTTGTAAGAGTTTGTGAAATTTTTTATTAGTGGATTTTAGCAATTTTGAGAACTTTTCGCTTTTGGCCTAGAGTTAACGTGGATGCCTTTGTACCCTAAAATACGGGTTTCAAGTCCCAGTCAGGCCTTTTTTCTTTATTTGTGAATTTGAAAAGAAATTTCTGGAACTGTGTCAGCTTAGATTTCACAACGAGGGATTTTCTTGTGCTGTCAGGAATTTCCATCGTAGAAGCAAGTGTTTTTGGTTTACCTCTGTAATATGTAAAATTAATACCCCTTGCATATTTTCGTTGGTTTTCGGGTAGTTTCTGTTGCAAATTTTCAAAGTTTCAAAAGTTACTTGCTCAATTTTTTCATGACAACAAATTCTTATTGCTTTTGTTTTGTTTTCAGTTCAATAGGCTTCTACTCACTTGTTGTCGACTTAGTGCCCGCTCGGTATATACTGAAAGCTTGTGTATTACTGGTGGTTGTGTTTTTCGACTTTTCATTTTTTTTTCGATTTTGTTATTTCCGCCTCATTTTCTATTGGCTAGCTTTTAATGTTGCACCTGCATTGTATCGCAAGTGATGCGAAGCTCCGCTTCACCTCTGGGTATAAAGTTTTGTTCTACCTTGAGCATATTTTTATGCTTTTATTGTAGGTATTTTAACCCATGTGATACCTTTTTTGGTTGTTAATTAAGTGTCTGTCTTGATGCAATCTGAAGCGGAGCGGGTTTTTTCTTTCAAAAACACAGCCTTGCTCAAAAGCATTATCCTGATATAAATAGACAAGTCCTGATATGGCAAAGTGCAGATTGATGAATGGAAATACCTGATTAGAATGACCTGATTAGAAATAAATTTCTTTTCTCATATATATATTTTTTTGTGCTAACAATTAAGATAAACGGCTAGTGGGCATTTTTGTTCTTTTCATAAGGAGTTTTTATATTTTGCATAAATTAGCATTTCTGGGTTTTTGCATAATTCATTTTTAACAGGATAAATAAATATATTCTTTCTTTTTTTTGATATTGTGCTGTTTATGAGGAAACTTGAACCGCAAAAGAAACCATCTCCAACAAATTATGGTCGAGCGACCGAATAACAACTTCAAATCAATATTTTGAAGTTATCGATTCCTCCAGATCGTTCTAAACAGTTTTACTTGTATAAACAGTAATTTATATTTTGCATAAATTAGCATTTCTGGATTTTTGCATAATTCATTTTTTAACAGGATAAATAAATATATTCTTTCTTTTTTTTTGATATTGTGCTGTTTATGAGGAAACTTGAACCGCAAAAGAAACCATCTCCAACAAATTATGGTCGAGCGACCGAATAACAACTTCAAATCAATATTTTGAAGTTATCGATTCCTCCAGATCGTTCTAAACAGTTTTACTTGTATAAACAGTAATTTATATTTTGCATAAATTAGCATTTCTGGATTTTTGCATAATTCATTTTTTAACAGGATAAATAAATATATTCTTTCTTTTTTTTGATATTGTGCTGTTTATGAGGAAACTTGAACCGCAAAAGAAACCATCTCCAACAAATTATGGTCGAGCGACCGAATAACAACTTCAAATCAAGATTTTGAAGTTATCGACTCCTCCAGATCGTTCTAAACAGTTTTACTTGTCATTTGAAGGAATTTCAACTGTGTCTTAATTAGTTGCAGAGAAAACGACAAAAACGTGAATAAAGTATTCGTTGATTTCTTGTTTGAAAACTGAAAGTTGTATTTTTTCGTAACTGTAACTATGACTTCAAAATAAAACTTATTTCAATACAGCCATGCGGACAATTTATCTTAAAAAGTGATTTATCCCAAAATTTGGTTTTGCTTTACTGCAGATTTGTACCGCAGACGACGTTCACTTGCACTTCAGTCCAGGTCAAAATCAGCAGCTCCGACTGCCGGAGGGAGGAGACCAGTTGGCCACGTGGATCCCCGACGTCCCTCCACTTCTTCGGTCGCATCGGGAGGTAGAAGGCTTGTGAGTAACGAGGAGAGACACCAACATCACCGAGCTAGGAGGGAGAGAAGCAGGATATCGAGAGCGAGCAGCATCGATAGGATGTCCGTGTCATCCGGTAATACTTTTGCTATGTTCCATATCCTGTTTTTTGGCGGCTTTTGGTTCAAGAGCAAAGAATTAACAAGACTGCTCGTATCAGGGCGAAGCCCTGAATGTTCCGACTGCCTTTTAAGGTTTATGGAGCAGTAATAACATTAAAAAATTAAATGTAAGAAAAAATAAAATGAAAAAAAAATTTTTTTTTTCTTAAATTTGAAGTTTTTTTATAAAAATCATCCCCCCACACGCCATACAAAGTACAAAAGGATAGATTTTGCTCCTTGTAACAAACCAATTATGGCGAATAAGCTTCTTTTAACCAATTTGGAACGATTTCTAAGACGGATTAACTCTCCGCTTACGCGTTAATAGCGCGAAATATATCGCGCGTTAATTGTCCCAAATTGGCCAAAATGGCAATCTTTAAACCCCCATAACTTTACGAAAAATGATCACAGGTGAAATATCTTTTCAAATTTGAGCTCAGGACAACAATACCTTTCGAATGATTTAAAAAATTCCGTCAAAAATGGCTAGTTAAAAAGTCGAAATTTGTATGAAGAAAAAAAAACCCACCCCGAGCACAAATATTCCGTTACTTTCGTATCGAAAGTCGGAACAAAAATCAGTTATGCTATATGCAATAAACTTGTTTCTTTTGGCCTGTTGTCTTTGTGAGTGGAAGCCATTATATTCAATTCATATAAAAAGTTTGAGTCATAACCACAGAAATTATAATTTGAAAGGTTTTGAAAGCCTTCATGCTCGCTAGCCGAGCTTGCTGAAAGTAGCGAAAGAAATTATTGTCACGCTAACTGATTGTAATGTTATGAATTGAAATAAATGGCTTTCAATGCAATGTTATCCTAGTGATCTTTGACTTATTTTTTAACGTGAAATGTTAATGTGTCGGCTTTCTGGCCCTTAGGCTTGTTGGTATTACACAAACTGACTGATAAGATGCAATTGTTGTGAAATTGTGGTTTGTTCAGCTCGTTCTAATCGGACGGCGGTGGAAGACTCAGTGCAACTTCTTGGGGAGCTGAACATGAGTCATTACAGTGAAGTTTTGACCACTTTCCAAGCCGATTTGGAGTCGGCACTCTTCCAATATGCTAACAGGTAAACAAACTCAAGCATGCGCAGATTAATTATTCATTTAGAGGGGAAAAGAGTAAAATTGACCGTACTTTTCAATTCGTAGACTTTAGATGATTTCAGTGCCTTTATTAGGCATCATTCGAAATATCCGCTGCAATTGATTACGATATCCAATGCTCAGTCTGGGCTCACGGTTTCATAAGTGCGATTAAATTTAGTGCAAAATAGCTCAGCTGTTTACGGCAACGATAATATAAAGGTTCAAAGAAACCACTGTATTTTCAGAGTTTAAATTAGCCAAATTAGTCTTAATGAGTCAAAATCATGAGTATATTACGGATATCATTATTTGAGACCGTATTTTTACCGCGTTTATGATAAAACCAAAATAGTTATGGCGGCTGAAGTTGATGCTCATAAATTCACCACTTTTATTCGGATTTTTTTCGAGTTATGGACGTAATTAGTACTCTTGTATAGGTCTTGGCTATTTTTTTTGCACAGGAAAAGTCTTAAAATTTATTCACGCGCAATTTTGATTTTTCGTGGTTTGACTTATGATTTCTTTTCAAGTTCAGTGCATTTCCATTGTTAAAAGGAAGGCAAACCCCACTATCGAACATCAAAAGTGTCAAGGTCACGAAAAATGTGATCAACTACTAATTTCGGAATTGAAAATTGATTATCAGATTTCCCAGCGAAATAAAAGTTTTAACTATTGATCCCGTTTTCTCAAATTGAGTTAAAAAGTGTCCATCATGAATTGTTCTACAAATCTACAGAGAGTTTTAAGGCCATCTATTTTTCGAAATTCAAAGTTGAAGTTTTTTTGAACAAATCAAGTGTTTTTTTTTTTCAGTTTCCTTGCGTTCATTACTCTTTTCCAACTGTCAGTTGGCTATGTTTGATTTTTCCAAGTTCATTTTACTTCCTTTAATAGAAGCAAGGCCAACTCCACTATCCAAAAGAAAAATCTAAAGGTCACGAAAAACGTGGTTGACTGTTAATTTCAAAAATGTAATTTGGTTATCATATAACCTAGCGAAATAATTAAGGTAGTTAAAATCATTTAAAAAATTCTAGAAAATTAATTGTTCCAGAAATTGCAAGGCAATTCTTTTTTTTCTCAAAAAATTGAGTTAAAATAATTTAAAAAATTATAGAAAATTAATTGTTCCAGAAATTCCAAGGCCATCTTTTTTTCTCAAAAAATCGAAAATTGAGTTTTTTTTTTAAAAAAAACAGTCAGTTTGTTTTTTCTGTTTACTTGCGTTCATTGACTTTCCCAACTGTCTGTTGGCTATGTTCCTGAAATTCAAAGAGCTTTAAGGCATATACTTTTTCTTTAAAATTCGCAAGTTGAATTTTAAAAAAACAAGTCAGTTTTTTTTCTATTTCTTTACGTTCATTACTTTTTTCCAACTCTCACTTGGCTATGTTTTTATTCGCAGTGAAAATATCGAAATCAATTTTTAGATTTATATTAAGATCATCTTAATGGTTTCCTCGTTTATGTTACAGGAAACAACATGCACCCTCAACAGGATTCTCCAACCTGAACAAACTTGCACCCAGTGGTACTCTAGGGTCCGACGATGTCAACCACAGAGGCGAGAGCGGTTCAGCCGGGGTCAATAGACCACAGTTAGGATCGACACCTGTGAACAGCAAAGAACTTATTTCGAAATTGCAGAAACTGCTGGACTTGGCGAGTGAATTGCACCAGAAGAACGAACTAGATAGGAGTCGAGATTCAATTCAAGGCTAGTTTTAACTTTTACCATTACTACTTTTGTGCTGTCCTCTTCATAACAGCCGCACTTTAAGAAGCGAGGGACTTGGTATTAAATCCTTCGGGAAATTTGCGCAGTAATAAATGATAATATAATAGCCATTTGCTGTGCAAGCTGCAGTGTTCAGACCAATGAAGTCATGAATAGAACAATAAAAAAACTGAAACGCCGTTGATTTTCTGGGCATTTCTAAAAATAAGGCAATATTAGCTTGGGTACGCTTGAAGCGTAAAAAAACGGGAATGATTTAAATGGGAGTGATTATCCATATGACCGCTAAAAATACGTCTGAAAACAAAATAATTCAGACACTGAGATAGCTATTTCTGCTATTTCCTGTTTGAATCCAAATCACAGCGAAAGGGCTTTTATTTGACAAAACTACTCTCGATTCCGTCCGAGCGTTCTACGAGGTGCATGAAGTCGCTTGAAAAAAGCTACCATAGTTCTTTTTGACTTCGTGAAGTGGTGTGAACCAAAGCGTAGTGGGCCTACGATTTGGCGGTTGAAAAAGAGTAAAATACTTGTGTTAATTTTTAGTTAAAAACGTATAAGTTGAAAAGATTGCAATACTTGAATCCAGTAAAATAACTGCTCCAAGCGAAGTTTAAATGAACTGTTCAGATGGCGCCATAATAGAGGAAGACCCGATTGAGGAAACATTGGCGCAATTAGGGTTGAGGTCTACTTCCTACCATGACAACGGACTAGACAGTGAATTGGACGACGACAATTCTTCAACACTCTCTTTCAGATCAGTGGACCAAGACGTGAGTCATTGTTTACACCTTAAGATCTAACTTTGGCTTACAGAATGTTTTTGGCTCTGAACTAAAATATTCATTGTGTAAAGCGAATTGTTACAAAACGGTATCAAAATAATAAGATATTCCAGGCTTATTTTGTTTTTTTGGTGTTTTTTTTACAGAAGTATGCTCCCGAAAATATCTTGCAAATATTTCTCGTATTTGCGTTGCATCTACTTGGGAATTCGAGCCCTAAAACTGTTCCCTGACAACTAGGCACAAAAAGAAGACCCTAAAATTTTGCAAAAACGCGGAAAAGTTTCATTGAATTTTATTACCGTAGATCTTTTTTCATAGGAAGAAAGACAGCTTTTCTAGAGAAAGTTTGGCGTTTTTACAAGAAAAATGAAGTTTTCCAAATTTTTAAGAACTGGGAATCAATTTTTTTTGGACCCTATGAAATACAATCACTTTTCAGTCATGAAAATATAAACTTGCTGCTTCGTCTTGAAGTGTATACTTTTCGACAGTCTAAAAAGGCTTTTGATTGGTTCAAAGTTTTCTGCCATTCGGTCTATCCGCCATGAGTTACTGAAGTCAATGAAAAAGTCATATTGATCTGGAATAATTGCGGAAGGAATGCTTCTTTTTTAATAAGCAGAGGCAGACGCCACATAGATAAAGAAATCTTCAATTTCAATCAGGGGTTTATTTTAGCCAGTCTTATGTTGCGTATTAATCAGATTTCACATACGCATTATGGTGTGATTGCACATTTACATGTGTGTGAAACGTCGAAAGACAGTTTTAAAACAAGAATTAATTCTCCTTGTTATGTTATCATATAGATAATATAGATAGATTAGTATTTAAATAATGTCATGACAATAGAAGTAAATACAACTTAAATCTTTCATAAGTTGACAGAGAGTGAATAGAGCGCATGCTGTTAAGGTTCAAGTGGATTGGCAGGTCGGTAACGACCTTGACCGATAATGGAGTTTAGCACGAAATAGCTAGCACACTGATGACGTCATGTTTAAGACTAAACAACGACGCACCACATTTCCCCCTCTCGGGAAAAGGATTCAAACCGTGTTTGAATTTCTTTACTCTTAAGTACAAAATTAATAAATGCGCTTTTACATATGAAACCGTGAAGGTAGGCAAAGAGATTTATGGAAAATGACTATCATAGATGAAGGTTTGATATGAATTTAAAGATTATGGCGAGAACAAGATACAAAAATTTGTATAATTTCTGGACCAAATGCTGAATTGATAAATGCGAAAGTTTTAATTAGACAAGGTACGATAGTTTGTATGATTTCTGGACCAAATGCTGAATTAGATAAATGCAAAAGTTTCATTTATCTGACCGACATGAAGTTTTACAAATAGAAATTTGGTATAAAGTTTAAAGTTTTAACAAATACAGGGTACAACAGTTTGTATAAGTTCTGGACCAAATGCCGAATTCGATAAATACAAAAGTTTTATCTATCTGATCGACGCGAAGGAAAGTCGGAAGTACTCGTTTTGGGGAAACGAATAAATTTCCTATGTTTTGGGGAATCCTCGGGTATATCAGCCCGAGACTGGCTTGCTTGATTAGTACGATCAGAACCGGACATGACAAAACGGACTTTCTTATCCGGAGAGGCAGGAGTTGACGGAGGCGTAGTTGTTGACTGAGACTGAATGACATTAACTGAGTGTCTAATAGGGCTACCGTAGAATGTAGTTTGCTTTTTGCGTCGAGAAGAAGATCGTGACGAATTTGACGAAGAAGACATATTCCCACCCTGTTCCGAAAGTATGCCGTGACTATCTTGGGTGTTAGAGCCCGATGCCACCAATTTTGATGAAGTTCCTACTTGTGACTTCGAGATTGACGATTCTTCGTCTGAAGAAATGGGAATAAGATCTGAGCCTACTGGGGTCATTATTGGAATTGGCGCCTTTGACTTGATGCTAATAGGAATTTCCGCTCCTGAATTGCCAGACTTAGAGGAAGAGACAATAACTGTAGATTTCGGTTTGACGTTAATACACCTTGGTTTGACGCTAATAGGAGCCTCTGTTCCTGGATTACCCGACGTAGAGGAAGAGACTGTCAAGTCTACCACCGGAGTAGAATGCTGTGGATACGGGATGTTCTGTATACCCGGAGCCTCCGAAGTTGCATCTTCCCTTAATTTTGACGCCACCATTTGACTGCGGGGTGGAGTATGTGAAACTGGCATAGAGGGGAATTTCGAATGAGCAGGCACGTACACTGTTTTCGCTGAAATACGTTGCCTGGAACCCGATCGTTTGAGAGGCCTATTGTCTTCCGATGATGATGTTGAAGATGGCACGTTTGGGCGTTTCTTCCCTTTCTTCACAGGAGTTAATTGTTTTCCTGAAAAACTTAGAGGGGTTGATTTATAATAACTTTCCCTTTATCAGAAATATATGTGGAATCAGTGATCCGCACGATTTTGCCCTTATAAGGTTTGAAAAGTTCTCTGCCAGACTTCCTATTTAGAAATTTCCGAAAAATTTCGACCTTATTTGGTTCGTTCAATACTAAATAGTCCAAATTACGTTTTGGCAACGAAGGCGAATTTGTTCCGTTGGCATTTGGTTCCGGAATCTGAGGGTACCAGCAGACAAGTTCGAACGAAGAGTGGCTGCGAGGATTTGATTTCTCTCCGTCAGGGTCTTCAGGGCTTTGACCCCCTCCTGATGTGTTAGAGACTTTTTAAATGACAACCACTGGTTTGCGGATTGTGCCAAGCTCTCCAGTGCACGGTAGTGGGGTGTATCCGCTACTGAATCTGTGGTTCCACCAAAATGTGGAGACACCGTCGGGCTTGATTGTCCTTTCTTGACGACTTTGATTCTGGGGCGACTATCGCACTGCTCCCGTCGCTGCTCTGGTGTGAGCAAGTCCCGTTCCAAACGTTGGTTGTCTAAATGAATTTCCGACGTTAACCGATCAGCCGCTATAGATAGCTCCGTATTCGGAGGACGACCAAAATGAAGTTCAAACGGGGAGACCCCGGTAACTGAATTTTTTGTAACCCGGATATCTTCAATAATATTCCTAAGGGTATCCTGAACATTAGAGAAATCCGAACTTAACCGAGAGGCGCCCAAACGACGCTTAATTGTTTGTATCGACCGTTCGACTAAACCACAGCCACGATGGTCCCCCACCGGACAAAAATATTGTACAATATTTTTCTCTAGACAAAAATTTTGCACTAATTTATTTTTAAAACCGGAGTACTGGTCTGTTTTAATGGATCTGGGGATACTGTGCTGTTGAATGTATGACTTGAGAAACTTAATGATCTTCCGTCCTCCCGTGGAACGCGTAATCATAGCCGACGGATATTTTGAATAACGGTCGATTGCGACCAAGATATAAATACTATTACCAAATGAGTCAAGTAGAGGGCCTGCGTAATCAAGTTGCAGCTCTTCATTAGGACCCGATAAAAGAGGTAACGGCTTGGATGAATTAAATGATACGTTCGCTTTCTAATTCTTACCAAACTTTGTGCACTGAGGACAATCTTTGCACAGTTGTATAATGTCCCGATGCATTCGGGGCCACCAGATGTATTGTGCTGCGTCAACCATTGCTAACTGACCCGCATGCGATCTATGGAGTCGAGATAACAAAGGTTTGCGTAGACACATGGGAATAGCGATCCTATTATCCACCACAACACAGCCATCAACTACCGCTGCACAATGCCAAAATGATTTAATATAGGAGTCGATACGGCAAAATCCTTCGTAATCCCGGTTGATAATTGCTCGTTTCATGAGGCTTAAACTGGCATCTTCATCCGTGAGCTCCGATAATACATCTGAGTCCAGAATTCCCACCAGTCCAGTTAACGATTTCTGGTCCGCAGCGACCACTGGTGACTTTAAGATCTCGAGACTGTTGACTGACTGAGATTGTTGTTTTGGTATCCTGCCCCGTTTGGATCTGAAATTCGCTAGAATACGGGCGTATTGACTCCTTAGTTCTACTCCTCGTTGAACTGTTGTAGATCTTCTGGGTCGAACAGTCCCCGCGCGAAACCGCGGCCTGGCTCTATCTGAGGAGAACCAATGTTGAGTGACCGGCAGATACTGATTTAACAACTGCTCGAAACTGTCGTTTGTGTTGTTGGTACTTGTGTTGGGATTCATTGCAGTCTGAAAGTGAAAAACACTCAAAATAATTTCACTCCAACCAATCCGATATGTTGAAATCAAGACAAAAAAATTGATTATTAATGCCAACAGATGACAACCGCTCACTGCCAAAGTAATAATCCACAATGAAATTAGAAATGGCAGATAAATTGTGATCCATGCTGAGAAAGTGGCAAAATTCGGCATGTTAATACTTGACGCTGATTGGCTAGAATATGAGCCAACACTTTGGACGCCCTCTAGCGGAGAAGAAATCGATGGATTAGAGAAGTTATTTTGACTAATGGCGAACATTTTGTCGCCCTCTAGCGGATAGAAACTTTCCGATGTAGATTGAATGTCTTGAAATAAGACGCCCTCTACCGGTATATTTCCAAACTTGTTCGTTGCAACAAGTGAACTATTGATATCGGGACAATTGATCCGAGATTGACAATTTCCCAATAACTCAACTAGGTTAATTTGATCTGGTACGACAAAATCCTGACTTATCTCCACGTTATTGGATAACTCCTCAGATGAAGTATGATGCTTGGCCCAACCGTCCAAGAATTCACATGCATCAAAGAATCGACTAATGCATTTGACAACATATTGTTCGTCAAAACTACTCGGTCGTGGAGCTTCAAATGTTGGGAAACGAGATAAGTAATCCACGATTCCTAGCTTACAGCCGGAGATATGGAAAATATCGAAGTCGAAAGGTAATAACCTATCAGCCCATCTAGTTAAACGTGACTGATACGTTTTGTTTCCACGGTTCGTCTTTAATGCAGATATGATTGCTTTATGATCAGTTAGAATCACGAAATGATTCCCTA